CCCCCCCCCCCCCCCAATGAAGGAGGATTGAATTATTTTAGAAGTTATATTTTGTTAAACAAGAGAGAGAGTGCACTTTCAGCTTTAGTCCTTCTTGTTACTTAAGAGATAAATAAGATTTGTTGAGTTAATGTTCTTTATCAGAAAGCCTAGGCAGAAATGAAATAACTCATCTAAGCGAGATTCCCTTCTCATGGGAATATCCACTTTTGCCTCCTCACCTGTATAAAGTGCTGTGTGTAAAATTGTGTGATTTTTGTTTGTTTGTTTGTTTTCATAGATGCTTTTAGATTTCTTTCATCAGTGGTTCACAATAGTCTCTTTACTTATGCTTCTGCTTAGTCTCTTCTGCTCAGAGGAAAATGTTGTTGCTGTTGCTTTTGTTGCTGTGGCTGGATGTAAGCTCAACAATAGCAGTGTGCAGTATAAGAAAAATTGTATTTGTGATAATTATTACTCTGTTGAAAAATATATTGCAACAGTGTGAAAAGGAATCTATAGTATAAAAATTAGGTGTAATATTTAGATTTCTGGAGTTTTGACCAATAGCAATACACTGAAAGAAATAACTTGATATCAGTGTCCCATACCTGTAAGCTGGGTTTCATTAATTGATTAGGAAGGAACATTTGGGCCAGGTATGAATATTACACTTTTGCCAGTATAAGTGATGGAAACAGGTCTACACCATAACAGAACAGAAATTCAGCATACATAGACTGGTTTCAAAAAGGTGCAACCTGGTCTAAGATTTGCCCTACCATCAAAGGGCAAATCTTAGACCATGTGTTCTTTTCAATCCCAATCAAAACAACACCAATTACATAAGAGTGCAACTTAGATCAATTCTGTCTTGGGCTTCTTGAATGTCTGTACCTAGCCCTGATGTCTCATGTTCTTATTTAACTCTATTAGTGTTAATGTCACTAATATGGCTAATACATATGAAGGGAGACTATATCTTCATATGTTGTAGAAAAGACATCTAACATTGTCATCTTTTATGCTTGATCATAAATCATACATCTGATGAAACAAGCATCTTTAACATCTACATGTATAAATCCAAACTATTTAACATGCACATAGAGGTACATCGTCTCCTTGCAGTACCAGTTGTAGCAAATGCACAAAAATTGAGCAGTGGGGACTTATATAAATATCTTCTGTTCCATTTTAGTTTGCATGTGCTCTTCTTATTTTTCTTTGCAACTCAGGGAGCCTCACTCTCAAAATGAACATCTGCAGAGCCTCAAATACATTTTACTTCAAACTACTTTATAGGCATGATATAACAGATCATTGTATATTGTAATAAATTGTAAGGTAAAGAACCACATGTTCTTCTAAGTAGAAAATGCATTTTTACTGACCTGTGTAGTATGTTTAGAATCATATTGTGTGCCTCTGATTTTGTTTAGTTTCCATGCCTTCCCATCAATTTCTGTGTCGTTTATCAACTTTTACATACTCTAGTAAAATCTGTTTACTATGGGAAGACTTCTTGAGGCTTGAGAGCAGATAGGTATTCAACAAACTGAAACCATGAAGACCCCCTAGGTGTATATGTGAACTGAAAGTTTTTATTTTAAGGTGATATTAAATGAAACATTCCTTGTCTTCTAGTACAGATTTTCTTTAAGTCCTCTTAAACATTTAGTTTTTAAACATTATCTTTTTCACCAGAAATACTATAGTTTGACAGAATGTATGTAGATTGTTGCTACTGAGCTAATGTCTCCCAGTAAGATAAAATGATACAGGGGAATGGGGGGAGGGGGGACTGGGGGAGCAGGGAATTGTTCCATTAAAATGGTTCTTTGTGGGTTTTTTCTCCCTGTGGAACTTCCTGACATTCAGATACTATGTCATGTATAATCGGATTGTAACTCTTTCTGAATACTGTTTTCTCCTCTTGGCAGCATGGGGTAACCTTGGAAATGTTCTCAAGAGCCAGAGCAAGATTTCTGAAGCTGAAAGCGCCTATAGAAATGCCTTGTACTACCGCAGCAACATGGCTGATATGCTTTATAATTTGTAAGTATGCACGACTTTGCCTGGGTTGCTTCCTCTGTGAAACCTGTTGTGAATGGGGCTATTGATTTAGCTGTTGGAAATGGATATGATGTTAGCTGTTGTTTTTATTTTGGTCTTTGTAATAGTCTTTTCATTAATCATGCTTTTTAAACTAAGAGGTGGACAGGGTCTTTTTTGTATGCATTCACATTATGATATATTTGTCTATTGTTGCTCCCTGTTGAAGTGACCAAGTACATAAGCTGTAGAACTACATAGCCTAAGCAAGTGGATCTGGTCTGAAGCTAAGCATATTAGACCCATGCGCTAAATGGAAAAAATAGAGGAAAAAAATTGATACTCGAGCAACACCAGCATCATATCATTATTAATCTCTGAAAATATAAATAGTTTAATCCTTTTTAAGGGCAGTGAGAGGTGAGAATCAGAATAATATAAATCATTGATATTTGGTCATCTATACTAGACCGTAGTGTCAGAGTAGCTAAATGTTTTATTTTCTTTCCTTACGGATTGGCATGGGTATTGCTACCTAGAATCAGAAGAACATAGATGCAGAAAGGTCATTCATTGCAATTTTGGTAGGTTTGTAGGTGGGTGGAAGAAATAAATTAAATGAAACTTATGAATAAATAATGATAGCAATAGAGTGAATAAGTTATTTCCTGACTCAGTAAGCTTTTATCTAGATAATAAGCAGATGCTACCAAGTATGCTTATTGTACATCTTGATCGACTAAAGCATGATTTTCTTATGAAATGTGATATTGGGAAACTTGACATCATGGGTGAGGGGTCTTGTGTGTCATCCCTATGGCTCAGTATGCAAGCTTCTTTTTTCCTGTCATCCCTAGTAAAATATGCTGTATATACATGACTACGTGTTCTTGGATAATTCTCCTGGTTTTGTTTTTCTGGTAGAAAACTTACCAGGAGGCACTTGAACAGACATTTGAATGCTGAACCCCTGAAGAGCAGAGAGCATGTAGGGCTAATGCTGCACAACTAGGGTTCACCTGTACATACATCTTGGCTTCCTCAGCCTACCTGGTGACAGATGGCAACAATGTAAAGGGCAGCCTTGATTGGCTGACCCAAACTTCTTAATGTAAGCCTATTTCACTGCAGCATGAAATGAGAATTGTGATGCTTCCTGCTTGGCTGAAGCAATTAAGTACATCAAGTAATGCACTGTCCTCCTGCAAGAGAGTTGTGAGGGGGAGGCGGAACAGGGGTGAAGCAAAGCACCCTGGAAAGAATGTGTTGTAGTCCCTCTCAGACTAGAATATGAACAAACATTTGCACTCCCAGGAGAAACTCTCTTGGGAATGATTTACTCCTGGCTGTTATCCAGATTATTTTTGTCCTGGAGTGACCATTTATGCTCTGGGAGAAAAATCCTGAACTGTACACTCATTGTTTTTACTGGGAAAGTAGTGACTCTCCCAGGAGAAATTTGAATGTCTGTATGTAGCCACAGCCTGATAGTCTCAAAGTGATGTTTTGCCTCATGCATCTTCACTTATGATTATGATCACCTATTTAATTTCATAATATATGAGAACTCAGCAGACTCATAAACTGCATAACATTTAAAAAGAGATCATATGTGGCTCAGAACAGTTAATAGGTGAGAACAAGAGTAGACATAAGAAGCAAATCTCAGTAAAGACATTTCATTTTTATTTACTCTTTTGTCTATAACTGTCCTGTAAAATAGAATTTTACACAGCCTAGAAAACTTATTTCCTTACAATCTCAGTCAGTTGATTTGTAGTAAGTATTAAAGATTTGGTTGCCAATTCATATTGCTTTAACTTACAGAAGGGCTAGCCAACTGGCAGCCTGTGAGCTGCATGTGCCCCATAAATGATTAACACCTGGCCCAAAGGTTCCTACCTGGCCACCTGCTGCTATTTCTACTGGAGTTTCTGAAATTCCCCTCCCTCTAGTTTCTGCTTCCCGTCCCTGCCCCTAGAAGTGGGGCAGTGTGGCCCATGTGGGCAGGAGGGTGTGCACTGTGGACATGGTCTGTGCATG